TTTCAAATTTTCCGTTCGGCGGTCTATAAATCGTGCCAACAATTATATTCTTGCCAACTGTTGTGACTATTTCAATGAAGAGTGACTCAATTACTCCTCAAGAAGTAAGCCAAAGAAACTGAGCCAAAAAGAAGTTGAAAAACAAAGAAGAATGAATAGAGAAAGGGTAAAAAAAATATCTTGGTAATACTGGAGATGAACATGCCTACAGAACACCTCAAGCCCTGGGAAAAGCTATTGGTAAAGTTAAACGCCACCTACCAAACAGTCCAAGGAAGAGAAAGGCTGTTGTGGTAAAGTTGGCTAAAGATGCAGGCATTCCTACCCCAAAGAAAAAGAAAATAAGCTACACTGGGAACAAGGGTCTCTCTCCTAATGTTATTGAGGGAATAAAGGCCTTCTACTTATTGGATTCAATATCTAGACAGTCCCCTGGAAAGAAGGACTTTGTGATTAGTCGAGTGAATGGGAAAAAAAGATTACTTACAGAAAAGGCACCTCCTATACTCTTTAAGGGAGACCCATGCTCTTTTTCTAAAAGAGAATCCTTCAGTTAAAGTTGGTTTGACCAAATTTAGTTCTCTGCGTCCAGTGAATGTACTTCTCTCTTCCAATATCCCAAGAAATGTATGCCTTTGCCAATATCACGAGAATATTAGGCTCATTTGTGACTGCCTGAGCAAAGAAATCTACCAGTTTCCAACCTATGATGGGGATTTTGTTAACCTTTTTGTGTGCAGTTGTGAAAGAGAGGAATGCATGATGGGAAGGTGTACGGCATGTCCAAGTTGGATTGAAGAAATCGCCAAGGGATGTGATGTGCTTGAGAAAGAAGTGACATGGTATGAATGGGAACGTATATACATTTCTGACCTTAAATGTAAGAGTGGAAAGGTAAATGTGGTCAAGAGAATGAAGAAAGTCTGTAAAGAGGGGACAGTAAAAGATGTGCTCACTTCACTTCAGACAAAGCTTCCCTCTTTTCTGGAACATGTGTTTGTAAAGAGACACCAAGCAGCATACTTTGAGGAAAAGCTTAATAGCATAGAGGACGATGAAGCAGTGATTCAAGTGGACTTTGCAGAGAACTATACTTGGAAATTTCAGGATGAAATTCAGTCTGCACACTGGAACCAGCAACAGGTTTCTCTCTTCACAGTGGCCGTGTGGACGAAAGGTCCTAAAGGTGATAAGGTCTGTGTTTCACATGTTATTGTTTCTGATGAACTAAATCATGACAAGAAATCTGTAGCAGTGTTTATGTCTACAGTTATGGACAAATTTGTGAAAGAAATGCATGCAGATGTAAGAAGAGCTTATGTTTTTTCAGATGGTCCCAGCTCCCAGTTCAAAAACAGGTACATTGTCAATTTTCTGCATCACCTAAACAGCAAAGTAAGTATTCAGTGGAACTTCTTCGCTACTTCCCATGGGAAAGGAGCTGTTGATGGGATTGGAGGAACCGTAAAACGCATGGAGTGGAATGCTGTTAACTCTCGGAAAGCATCAGAAGTTGTGGATGCAAAAACATTTTATGACGCAGCCAGCAAGCTAACAACATCCATTAGTGTTTCGTTTGTTAGTCAAAAAGAAATGAATGACATGTATGACTTGCTCTGTCTACAGAAATACTTCAATGATGCACCACCTATTCCTGGAATTTCAAGATTCCACTGCATAGAGCCGAAAGATAGCTATGTCAATTGTCGGCTCTACTCTCACCGTGCTCTGTTGAGAATAGCATAGCACCTGAGGTATTTCCCTTTGACACAGCAGATGAATCCGAGTGTGATGATTGCACTGATGTTGAAGGTTCTGGGCCTGGTGATAGCAGTGACAATAAAAGTGTGGACAGAGAATACGTTCATGGTGGTGCAGGTGTTAGTGATGGTACAAACGATGATGCAAACGTCAACATCCACGAAGGAGTCCCTGATGAAATGATTGGACCATTCAAGCAATCAGCTGTATTTAATTTGCCACATTACATGACTATTCAAGTTGATTCAGTTATGAGTGGTCTCATTTCGTTTTGCGGGGGCAGTTTGATTGATGAAAGTGATTTGCAAGGATTGATTGGAAATTCCAAATCCCCAGAGATAAACTGGCTGAGTAACTTTATAATAGATGATTACTTAAAGTTAGTCAAGTCAGCATGTATTGAAAGAGGTGACAATGTGCAGACCATTACATGGGAAATCTTTGAGAAAGCAAGTATCAATCAAGTTGCTAAGGCCATGAAGAAAGATTGTGACTTCCCTTTAATGAGCCAAGATCTACTTCTCATACCTTGCAATCCTGAACAATCTAAGCACTGGTTCCTCCTGGCTGTTCTTCCCAATAAGAAATTGATCATAGTACTAGACAGCCTAGCAGGGAGCTTCATCAAACCCACTGTAGAAAAGCTACTTCAAAAAGTGGGTTTAGTTTTGGCAGTTGTTGATCCCAATATCCAAATACAAGATTGGCGATTTATGTGCAACACACCAGAAGATATACCCCAGCAGGACAACATTTATGACTGTGGAATTTATACATGTATGTACGCTAGGTGTCTGGCTGGGCTGGGGGTATTGGTAGATCAGGAATACGTTCTGAAGTTCAGACAGCACATTTTGCTAAGCCTGCACAGAAATGACTTGATGGAAGTGCCAGAGAATGAAATCAAGATGGAGAAGTATTACGCTGTTGACTATGTTAATAAATATTACATTGGAAGAGCACTGAGCATGCCTGCAGATAACACTGTGAAATTCAAGTTTTCGCACAGTGTTGGAGCTAAGCAATTTAACTGGCCTAAAAGAGATGACTTTGATGATGTGCATATCTCATGTATCTTTTATGGTCCAGTCACACTTGAGATGTGTGGCCCATTTGTTGTCCCCAAGCAGTCTGAAATAGAGAAAATCTTTGCAGCAACCCGTTAAATATTCGACAACTGAAGTGTCATGTTTGTAGACCATTCTATTTGACAGAGTTTTGCGCTTACTAGATTTGTTGTGTTTATTAGAATCCTTGACTTTAGTGCAAGATGATCAAAACAAACATAAAAACATGATTTTGCATTCAACAATGTGCCTTACAAAACTGATGGTACCAGTATACGGTAGTGACATTATATGTTCGGGAACTTTCCATGATGATTTATGTATACAGCAGAATAATTATAGTTAAAAGTATGGTTTCATAGTCCTTTTGATGTTCTATTTTTAAGTCATCAAGCTTAAAATAACTAGGATTCAAGCAAAACAATTATATAAGCATCTAATTCTGCAAGTTCAACAATGTAATGTCCGCAACGTAATGTCCGCAACGTAATGTCCGCAACGCATTATTCAAGGCATGTTGATACTTTTTATTGTCTTTTTTTAGTCTAAAATAATGGTAATAGCATTTTAAAAAAGCAGCACGAATATAATGTCAAAAGAGCTAGACGTTTGGCTGAAAAATAAATTGAATTGTTTTTTTGTTGCGGACATTACATTTCTCTTACGCAAACTTTGATGCACCATAAATCACAGAAACACTGGATATTGTCTGATCTAACATTGTCATCATGACATGTGAACTTTAGACTGTGTTTGTTAAGAAATATAATTTATTTCAAAGTTAAAGTGACCGAGTTATAATTATTTTAAATGAATACATTATAACCACAGAAAAATAGCAACAAACAAGTGCTGATTCAATGGCTTACCGCCGAGTGGACATTGATCAAAATTCAAAAATCGTTTTGATTTATGATAATCCAATGTGTTAATTACGGAAACATGTGGTTAGCACCACATACTGTTGCATTTTGCAATTTTGCCATTTTCAATGTCTCATGTGAAATCGACCTTTATTATTTTACTCTGTCTAATGCCAGACAATTATACCTACTCGTCAAGGGAAGAGTGCTGCCACTCAATGGCCAGGTTAATACGGGTGTAGTGCCTAATTAAGCAACTAGTTTAAATGTGCAGAATGGACTTTATCTCGTCTTTAAAAAAACCTAGCTGTATGTTTCTCTAAATAACCCATTAAGCTGCCATGCTCCCTAATGTGCCCAATTTTGTTTCTATACTCTTTTTATAATTTTATACTTTATATTGGCAAGAAATAAGGGGTAAATAAATGTTGGGTAAGGGTTAAATGGGGAGTATTTTATTTTCAATATAGAACCTGCTGTCTCGCAGTCTGTAACAATAAGTCATGAAGCATTTGACAGTGAAACCATGACATCGCCCAACACCTTAGCAAACAGTCTCCAAACACTGCAAATACAACAAGATCCAAAACCTGGCCAACAAGCAACAACTAACACACCCAACAATGCAGCAATTCCCAACCAAACCTCCCAGATACCAGTACACCAAGCTACCCCAGTTTTTATACCCCTCGACAGTAACCAAACTACTAATTTTGATGGCCAGAACAACCCAACTGGACAAGATGTTAAGCTTACTGACGAGTACAACATTATCCAGCCTAATGAAAGCTCTCCAAAACCAGTTACTTTACCATCAAATCAATCACCAATGAATTTTGACCAACATGACCAAAAGCCTATGGTTACTTCTACCGCAGGCCATATTACCCAGCCCGACAGAAGTTTACTGTTTAATACTTTGCCAACTGGATCAAAGTCCCCAACCAGTTTTGACCAAAAGATTGGGCACAATCAAAAGCCTTTTTTAACTCCTACTGAAATAACTCAGCCTGACAAAAGCATGGTACTAAATAACCCATTTAGTTCACCAGCCATTGCATCCAACCCGCCACCAACCAATGTTGACCAACAGACTGGATATCATAAAATATCTGGTATGGTTATTCCTCCTGACGAAAGAATAAACCACCCTAAGAAAAGTTCACCATATGGCCAGTTTAATGCACCATCAAATCGACCACCAACCAATTTTGACCAACATGATCAGAAATCTGGTATCATGGTTCATTCTGAAGTTCACCAACCTAATAAAAGTTTACCAAATTCCCAGTGTAGTACACCATCTCACTCACCATCAACCGGTTTTGACCAAAGCCACCCAACACATACTACTACAATGTCAATTTCCTCTACTAACGACACGCAAGATATTTCCCCCTATGATATCCCGTCGGCAGTGCCACCTCTGTTGATACCACTCTCAAAGGTTGGTCAGTATTTGCCTGAAGGGATGGCGATGGTCGATAGCAAAACTTGGATACCTTTGGCATTGAAACCTGT